AACTGTTGTAAAAAACTATTTTTGTCTATTGTACATTTTGCATAACCTCTAGAACTTCCAAAATTCATAACTGCAGTTTTTTCATCATCCCTGTATGTTATATCTGGAATTTAATTTCCTCTACTATGAACTGTTATTAAACAAGTAATACATGGTGAAATTAATAGTTAATAACTCTGATATCAAAAACATAACAGCATGTTGATTGATACTCTATAGAATGTCGTGGCCTGTGTTCTTGGAGTCCCACTTGTACACGTAGGGTTAACTGGTTGACTACTATTGTGTTTTATTTACATATTTATTTAGGAACTGTAAAAATTGTGTTCAAGTTGTTCACTACTACTGAGTTTTATCTACGTCTTCATTGAAAAGCTATTCTCATTCCCAAAATTGTTTAATTGGCTCGTTACTGTTTTGATTTTTTTTTTTCCCTAGTGAATGGAAAACCAAAATAAAATTTCAAACTTTGTCTTTCAAAGTATTTCTTATAGTGTCTTAGTGAAACTGTTTTTAATCAAAACAGTGACTATATTTTGTTTCCAAACCTAGAAAAATGGTTTTGGTTATGCACATAGAATGTATTATGTTTAAAAGAAACACTTTTGATATTGCAGATACATGCAAGTATAACAATGTTTAGAGAGTATTTGTTAAATTAAGTGGAAAATAATAGGTCATTTATACTGGTTACTTTGTGTGAGTGATTTGAACAACTTTAGAAATGTTACATAAAAAACTAACTGCACAGTGTTATTGTTAGTAATAACCACTTTGAAATTAATGAATTACTGACACTTTAATACTTCAGAAGTTACTATTTATAGTCCTTCATGATGCTAAGACAAACAAGTTCTTTGATTTCAGAAAGATTTAATTATATCTTAGTTTTACTTATCATTAGTTTTGAAGTGATGGAACTGAAATTGGCAACCTGCCTGTAGAACTTAGCTTTATTAAAGTTTGTTTGAAGTGTGATATTTACCCTTCTCGTGTAATGTGAATTTTAATCTTGTCTCTTATCTTCAGTGTGTAGTTGATGAGAAAGCAAAGAATAATTGAAAGTGTTTAACGAATGAAACTGGAAAGAGCTTCATGTGTATTGAAGCTGAGCTGATTTTAACTGAATAACGAAGAATATTTTTTTTCCCTGTGTTAGATGATAACTGTTTTATATCTACAATTGTGAACATAAATTGGAAGTTATTGCTTACATTCTGAAATATTTGTTTTGCACCAGTTTCTTTTATTTATTCTGCTGAATCTTTACTTCTTTTTAACAGGTTCATGATGTTCTTCACTTCTTTCCCCAACTTGTAGATGATGAAATAACATTCTTATGGGCAAGTGAAGAAAGTGGATTTCGACACTTGTACATAATAACAGTAGAGTTGCTACGAGATGACTTAACAGGAAATGTTACTGACCCTGCAATCCTTAGACCTGAAAGTAAAAACTTTTTGTCATAAAATGAGTATTCACTTTTACATGAAGAACTAGTGACACATCTTACTATGTGCTGTCTTCTTTAAAGTTTAAGCAGCATTTAGAATCCTATACATTTTAAAGCTTTCTTACTGTAACTATAAGTATTTGCTTCTGAATTTTGGGATAATGCTGAAATTGCTCATGTTTTAAATATGATGATTAAGTAACTAAGCAAATATTTTACCTTGATTTAAATTTTGTTTCAAAACTAATTATTTTTACAACCTACACGTTTGGTGAGTAGGTAGCTAAGAACATTTTATTATTTTTATAAGATACGTGTGTGTTGAGTATCTAAGACAGTCCTTTATCTTTACAGCACAGGTATCATCTAGGATATTGAAGAAGATAGCTCTGACAGATGGGGATTGGGAGGTTTCAGAGAAAGATGTATGTTTTATTCAGTATTAAAAGTTGGACAGTACTTGAAAAACATGAAGACCACCAATATGATTTATAAAAAAGATTTAATATTAGAATTCAGACTATTTGACAAGAAACGTTTATTGATGTGTGTATTGGTGAATAGAGGTTATGTGAAAGATGGGACTTGTTTGTTGATGATATAATTCAAATCATGGGGTTGAGTACATTATATTAGAATCATTTTGGAGTCTCGCCATATCTACTCATGCTCTATCTCATGACTGTGTATCTTGACAAGCTTTTAAGCATAGTTTTTATTGCAAAAGGCTCAATTGTAAGATCCTTGTGTCCAAATTGCATCATACCCCCCTCAATTCTCTCCATAATACATGTAGTGTATCAGAATGACAGTTTAGCAACACCTATTTTCATAGTCCAATCACATAGAGACCCATAGCCACTGCATCGAGTGACTTGACCAGTATCTTTTCATATGTAATGGTATGAATATCTTATTCATTCTCCAACTGCTTGAGGTACCTGATGGTTAAGTGTGAGATAGGGATGGAAGCCTTATCTTGGTAAACCCATACCTTGTTGATTTCTGTTTCCAGATGGGGATCCTTCTTGATTATGTTGCACACTGTTGCCTGGAGCTCATGAATGGTGTTTTGTTCTCACCTGTTTGTTACAAGACAGCTCTCTTTGCTTGCCATAGCTGGGGGTTCGACTTGTTGCAAGTTTCACATTGGGTGGTCCTAATGCATCTTTTTCTGAATGGACCTGATGCCCTCTAGTTGACTCACATTCCTTTGTTTCACTGCCATTAAGTACAAGTGTCAGGAACTTACTTTTTTATATTATATATAATAAGTTAAAATATATGGGTGTGTTGGGCTAAGGATTGTTCTACAATAGGTGTCTGTGACTTGTTTGTGATAAGTCAAAAATAAATGAACAACATGCACTTCACTTGTTTTCAAAATAATATATATATTCCGAAAAAGTTAAATGCATGTACAAAAATTCCTTACACTATGGAGATCATAGTTATATCATAAACACTATATAGTTTTTTCTTCTTGTCAAAAGTCCACCTAGGCCTATTCAATTGCTTTATAATTCACTTGACAAGCTAAACTATTTTTTTTCTATTTCTATTGCTAGACTATCCATGCATAGTTCACTTACATTGTAGTTGAGTTACTGTGGTTGTATCTTATACTTCAAAAATCGTCTGTTTTTTTTCATATTTCCAAGAATCATCTGCCTTTTGCCAAAGTCCCTTCAGGCTGGTTCAATTACTTTAGTACACTTTTTTACAAGGCATCTTATTATCCTTTTCTCCTATGAAATTGTTAATCTCACTAACATATCAACTGTTAGGTCTTTCACTCTCACGACAACTAACTTTACTCTCTTCTGCTTTATTATTTGTCTGCTTGCCAGCTATTTATATGTATATCACTTAAGCCTTCTATAAATTTTTATAGCCTCAATGTCAATGAATTGCACACGATGTTCGATATCAATGAATTGTAAACCCAACGTACGACTCTTACCGAATTACATAACCAAACATGTCATAACTATCGCCTTTAAAATAATTGCTTTTAATTCTCTTGCTATGAAAAAACTAAACAGTCATGAAATATTCAATCACAAAATAAATAAATTAATAATGCCTACACTAAACAGTCTTTTGAATCTGATAACAAGAAATCCCTGCCTTGCAAATTTGAAATTCCTGACTGAACACATCTTTATAATCTGAGTATATAAATGAGTTGGAAAGGGTTGTTATATATCCTTTCCTAAAGTTATCAGTTTTTGATGGCATCACACCATCTACAAAATGTAGTTCTGATACATACTGTTCCACCATGACTTTAAAGTGACTGTGGTTGTAACATGAATTGCTGATATTCAAAATTGTTTTAATATAGTATACTCAACCTCTGTATTCTGTGTTTCAGACAAATGTTTCCTTCATTTTTGTTGAATGTAAGACAAAGTTTACCTGTAATTCACCTGAGGTTTGGTTTATACTTTATAGGGTACCTTAATATAAGGTAGTGTAGGAGTGGATGTTTCTATACTGCATAGCTTTGATATTTGAGTTTCCTGTTACTCTCAAGTAGTTGATTACATGTATTATGTTTACTAAATGACAAATGGATGCATTATGATATTATTTTGAAGAAGACATGCACCTTAGTTTTTATCTTTCACAGGTGTGGGTTGATGAAGAGAATGAACTAGTATACTTTATTGGATTAAAAGATACACCTTTAGAAAGGCACTTGTAAGTTACATTATTTTCTAGTTTAAGTTATTTTGCTTTTAATAATGACACCTATTTGATTAAAATATGTTATAATGCTAAAAATTGGGTTTTGATACCCCAAATGGGCAGAGTACAGATATCCCATTGAGTAACTTTGTGCTTAACAACAAACAAAGTTGAGTAATTATATAAATTTTCCAGTGCATTTGTTGGTATGTATGTTGTATAAAAGTAACTATCGATCTAAGTTGTATATTGCTTATTTGCCAATAAAAGTGCATTGTAATCAAGATTATAAACTGATTATTTTATTGTTTAAGCCCAAACTAACAGTTAAGCTGACCACTAAAGTTTACTATTTTTGTCTTGGTTATAAATTGTTCTAGTTTTAACACAAGGTTCTCACAGTACATTTGTGGATATTGGTTTTCAATAACTGTCATGGTTTGTAACCTATACAAAGAAGGAAGAAAAGGCATCATTAGAACAATGGATACTTGGAACACTTGTCCAAGGATGGAATAACATAAACACCAAAAATAAAGAAGAAGAAAAATTACAGTCATATTTCTCTATGTCAGAGGTCTCTCTGAAAACATACAGAGGATTTGTAAACAATATAAAGTCAGATGAGTATTCAGAAGCCATAACACAATATGATCACACACCAAACCAACCAAATACTGACTGGAGAGAAAAAACGCCATTTACAATATCAATTGTGTATTTAGACTCCAAAACATTAGAGAAACAAAACAACCAACAAAGATTAGAACTTCGAAGCATAATAGATATATAAGAGACTCGGTTAATACTGATCTGTTTGTAATAGCCCATTATGCCAGGAAAGATGTTCATATAATTAATTGGAATAATATACAAATAATAAGATATGAACCACATATGAGAATAAGATAAAAGAACAAGCCTCTTACATACACTTAAACTGACAGACAATCTAGCACAGAAGTCAGCAAAATTGAGATCATTGAAATAGTTAGTTGATTCAAGTTTGAAAATGAGGAAACAACAGTTGAGGAGATAACTAATCAGATATGTGTTAAGAACACTTGCAACTTAATCCTGGCCATTACCAACAGAAAGAATGCTTTTCAGGACTTCCATGAAGATGGCAGCAGATTAGCAACTGAAACTTAGGATAAAACTAGTACTTAGTTATATATATATATATACAAAAATCGAAACAAGTTAATAATTATACTTAAGTGATCATGTACGATACTAATCATGACAGTGAACAAGGTTTTACTGTTTTGTTTAGGTTCTAAAGTGTTTTAGTTTTTGTCCAAGAAACTTATAGAAGTTAATTTTTTTATAGATTATTTTCATTGAGTTCTTGATTAAGTGTTTATAGCAGTTAGAAATGTTCTGATATATTTTATATCATAGATATGTTGTGTCAATGAAACACCCAAAGGACGTAATTCGATTAACAACACCCGGATTTTCTCACAATGTAGCAATGGATAGGGTAAGCAAATATTTTCTTTATGTTTTTAATGAAGGAAATAGAGGTTTAGTGAAAGTGATGTGTTATGTTACTATGTTAAAGGAAAGGCTTGTGTTTAATTATGTAAAAAACTGGAGACATCTAGTTAAAGTGATGTGTTATGTTACTATGTTAAAGGAAAGGCTTGTGTTTAATTATGTAAAAACTGGAGACATCTAGTTAAAGTGATGTGTTATGTTACTATGTTAAAGGAATGGCTTGTGTTTAATTATGTAAAAACTGGAGACATCTAGTGAAAGTGATGTGTTATGTTACTGTGTTAGAAGGAAAGGCTTGTGTTTAATTATGTTAAAAACTGGAGACATCTAGTGAAAGTGATGTTCTATGTTAAAAGTATAATACGAGAAGTTTATAGAGTTTCACAGAATTTGAACTCAGATCCTTATTTTATGAATTACACTTAATGTCTTAGTGTAGTGTTGAAAATATATTTATTACTTTTATTGTTTAAATAAAATACTTTTTTTTATATGTATGATGATAGTGATATCTGTTGATAGTAGTTATTGTAGTTGATCAACAGTATTCTTAGAGTAATGCATGTATAAGTAAAATATTAACATGTTTAGGTTTTATTATAACGACCTATGGGGAATATAATTCCAAGAAAAAGTATTTTTACTTATTTTATCTCTTTGGCAATGATGAAACTAAGGAAAAGGTTTACTAATATTTTTAATGTCAAGTTACTTCACCTGTTATAATTAATTTTGTTCCCATGTGCATTAGTATAAAGTTCTTAAGTGTGTAACTTTGAAAGTTTTTTTTTTTTTTTTACAGGATTGCTCTATGTTTGTTAGTATACAAAGTAATATAACACAGGTTCCATTTGGATTAGTTTATCAGATACTACACAACTCTCAAGAACTGTCAACACGACCATTAGGTTACATCTTGGAACATGTGTGTAAGTAGGGTATTGATTTATATGTAGTGTTGTTAGTTATAACTGTCAACATGACCATTAGGTAACATCTTGGAACATGTGTGTAAGTAGGGTATTGATTTATATTTAGTGTTGTTAGTTATAACTGTCAACACGACCATTAGGTTACATTTTGGAACATGTGTGTAAGTAGGGTATTGATTTATATTTAGTGTTGTTAGTTATAACTGTCAACATGACCAGTAGGTTAAATCTTGGAATATGTGTGTACATAGGGTATTGATTTATATTTAGTGTTGTTAATTATAATTGCTGGGATCCTTTTAGTTTATATTACACCTTGTAAGTAGTAGACCATATGGTTCCACGTTACAGGATACTTTTAGTTTATATTACACCTTGTAAGTAGTAGACCATATGGTTCCATGTCACAGGATCCTTTTAGTTTATACTACACCTTGTAAGTAAACCATATGGTTTCACGTGACAGGATCCTTTCAGTTTATATTACACCTTGTAAGTAGTAGACCATGTGGTTCCACGTCACGGGATCCTTTTAGTTTATATTACACCTTGTAAGTAGTAGACCATATGGTTCCACATCACAGGATCCTTTTAGTTTATACTACACCTTGTAAGTAGTAGACCATATGGTTCCACGTTATAGGATCCTTTTAGTTTATATTACACCTTGTAAGTAAACCATATGGTTCCATGTCACAGGATCTTTTTTGTTTACATTACACCTTGTAAGTAAACCATATGGTTTCATGTCACAGGATCTTTTTTGTTTACATTACACCTTATATGTAGACCATATGGTTCCACGTTATAGGATCCTTTTAGTTTATATTATATCTTGTAAGTGGTAGACCATATGGTTCCACGTCACAGGATCCTTTTAGTTTATACTACACCTTGTAAGTAGTAGACCATATGGTTCCACGTCACAGGATCCTTTTAGTTTATACTACACCTTGTAAGTAGTAGACCATATAGTTCCACGTTATAGGATCCTTTTAGTTTATATTACACCTTGTAAGTAAACTATATGGTTCCACGTCACAGGATATTTTTTGTTTACATTACACCTTATATGTAGACCATATGGTTCCACGCAAGAGGATTATTTTTGTTTATAATAGTATATATATGTAAAAATTAGAAACTCGTTAGGTTAGATAATGTCAGATAATCAAGAATAAACTACAAATTCTTCACGAGGTATTCTTGCGAGCAACTCGTACATTAAAAATTATCAAGGAGGTTTTCTTGCGAGTAACCTGCACATTACATAATTCGATACGGTGACATGAGTTGCATGTTTGCTGAGTGATTTACAACTTAATGTGGGATTATTAGTTAGACACGGCTCAAGGATCAATAAAATGAAGTGAAGTATGAATAGATGTATACTGTTATAAGCTATTTAGGATAAACAATTGTGTTTTCCTTTTACAATTTGCAGTCATTGTAGAAAGACAAAAAGGGTAATTTTGATTTATTTCCTAACTTTATATATTAGTTATGATGTTGGTCAAATCAACCAACCCTCTATAGTATTATGGTTTAGAAAATAACAGATAAAATTTAAAGTTTTCCTGAAAAAAAAAGTTTGATATTTGTTTAGGAGATTTTAGAGATAATACAAAGGAAATTTTAAAATTTTCAGATGAAGAAATATATTTTTCATCTTAACATGAAAATAACTTTGCACTTGGAGCGAGCAATACTTTGACTCCATATATTTATGGACAAATTGTTTGTAAAAATATTAAATTAAAAATTCTGACTGTGTGTCTATCAAAGACTTGTAATGTTTACTGAGAGCTTGCCAAATTTTGTGAAGCTACATTAAGTACTTTCAGAGTTATAGTATATATTCCTTCATGGTTCATGGTGATTACACGATCATGTAAAATACATGAACCTGTTGCAAAAGTGTTAATAGCAAATAGTTTTTATGTTATAGCTTTTTCATAAAATGTAATTTGCTTAACATGTAAGACTGTATTTCCATGTATCATGTAATGCATAACTTATATTGCCAAGATATTTTAATATTGTTCACTACCGGTGGGGTCCATATATTGCATCATCTAGAGCAGTTTTTGATTGTTACAACTCTTTGGATAAAGAATGGACCAAATAATTTATTTAATGTGTAAAATATGTACAAACATCTGGCAGCAGTTTGTTGGATTAATTGCCATATTGACAGTATTTTGTTTATATTACTTGCATGACTCGTATGTTGTTAGAAACCCTGTAACTAAACGTCATGGACACATAAGCTGTTTGGTTTTGTAAAAAGTCAACAGTCATTGGTTATTCTAAAGTTAAATTTTCTCTTTGCCATGTTGTATTGAAAGTCTTATTCATGCTGGTCTTTGGTCAACTTTAGCCATGGATCCAGAATATCCTCCACCTAAACTTTTCACTCATCAGCTTCAGTGTGGAGAAGTTGTATACGGAATGATCTTTAAGCCTCTTCACATGGCAACTGGGAAGAAGTATCCCACAATTCTTATCATCTATGGTGGGCCTGAAGTCCAGCTGGTCACTAACACTTTTAAAGGAATGAGGTACCTTGACATTTTGTTATTTAAAATACTTGGGTAGAACAACATTTCTTTATGCAAAAACTTGCATCTTATAAGGCCTGTTGACGTATCTTGTTCCATTAAGTATTAGCTTGAATGGAAGTGAATCTAATAACGAAGTCATGATTCTGTGCTACAAGGTGAATTTTGTCCTGTAATGAATTTAAGCTACAAGTACGAGTTTCTCAGCATGTGGTTGAAGAAAAAAAAGTTTTAGTTGTTATATTAAGGTGTGTTCTAGAGTAACATGTAAGTTCTAGCTCCCGTATTAAGGTCATAAATTGAATTTCTTTCAAACCATATGCTACTCTCTTGTTTACTACCAGTCTTACAAAGTGACAGTATACTAAATAATTGTTTTTAAAGCTTGTAATGATTTTGATATTTTTGTAATAGTAGTTCATGAAATAAGATTTGATCTTTTACTAACTAAAAACCATATTTTAATAAGAAAAGATGGCCATTTACCACCAGTAGATATTTTATTACAATTATCACCATGGGTGTTTTTTTGATGTGATAATTTTAGAAGAACCAAATTAGTACATGATTAAATACAAAAATATATATTTAAATAGCGCTAGCTAGATTATAAAACTTTGAGTTATATCCTGAAATTAAAAACAAAATCCATTTTTTCATTTCACAGACATCTACGACAACATGTGCTAGCAGCTGAAGGTTATGTGGTAGTAGCTGTGGATTGTAGAGGTTCCAGACATCGTGGAGTAGCATTTGAAAGTCATATTAAGGGGAAAATGGCATGTATAATCATTTCTACATAACATCAGCAATAAAAATTAAAATGTAGAGTGAATTCATTCCCTGAATTATAAGATGATTTTCCTTATGCTTGCGTGATCTTATACTTGTGCACACACATACAGTATTCTGTTGATCCTCAACATAAATCTCACTGACAGATTTTGAAAACAGTGTTATATGTTATGATCATCTCTTTTTCCCCATTTATGAAAATAAATTACAAAATAAACTAGAGAAGTCAATGTTTTTGTAATATAGTTTAACACGAACTTCTGATCAAAGCAAACTTTCTACATAGGTTAGAACTAAATATATATATATATATATATATACCTAGTATAGATTAAAGATAATTAAATATAATGCTCAAACTTTGTTACATGTAATGATGACTATATTTTTTCATCAGTTGGGTACCCTCACTATTAACAGTAATTTTTTTTTGTGTTCATAGATTCAAGCTAGCACAAAATCAGCAGTTATGTGTAGGTTCTTTGTGTGCAGTGAAGCTCTAATATATAGTATTTTGTAGAAATAGTAGTATTTTTTGAAGAGCTAATAATACATAGTACATTTTGTAGAGCTAGTACTACATTTGATATAGCTAATAATACATTGTAGTAAATTTTGTAGAGCTCGTAGTACATTTGATATAGCTAATAATACATTGTAGTAAATTTTGTAGAGCTCGTAGTACATTTGATATAGCTAATAATACATTGTAGTAAATTTTGTAGAGCTCGTAGTACATTTGATATAGCTAATAATACATTGTAGTAAATTTTGTAGAGCTCGTAGTACATTTGATACAGCTAATAATACATTGTAGTAAATTTTGTAGAGCTTGTAGTACATTGTAGTAAATTTTGTAGAGCTAGTACTACATTTGATATAGCTAATAATACATTGTAGTAAATTTTGTAGAGCTAGTAGTACATTTGATACAGCTAATAATACACTGTAGTAGATATTTTAGAATGAATCAATGTGAAGTTTGTGTTTTTGTCATCCCCTGGTGGGTCAACAGTGGACAAAATGCAGGTACCTCATTGTGTAGCTCTGCACTAAAATAAACAAACTGTTTTTGTCAGTTGTGACATTTAAGTTTTAAACTCTGAGAGTAATACGAAGCATTGTTTAATGTCCAAAATAAAATTTACCTTCAGATTAAAATTACTGCAATGCAGTAAGACTTAAAAGGCAATTTATTCAGAAAAACTTGTGTATGCTAGCCACACTTTTCTTGATTAAATTTTCAAGGTTTAAGTAGTAACAATGTTAACTAATAATGGAGTAACCATTCTGTATACAACTTTGCTATTCCCTTTAACAAATTATTGGGTATTATTACAAAAGTTGACAGTTCTGTTAGTATGTTAACATGTGTAACACTAATTTTAGTTTGCATTTCAGAGTTTATATTGTTTATAAAAAGTGTGAGTTTTTAAATTTGGGTTAAAACAAATATGTCTGTACTATGAATAGAGTAATATCTGAATACTTTATGTAAAACAAGCATCAGAAGACATCTAACTAATGTTCATAAAACCGTTTTCATTCAGAAGTATCAAGCTATACCAGTCTCATTTTTAATGTCCAAACCTTATATCATACTGCCACATCAGTTATTATGTTTTTGATAATTTCAACTTGTGCAGAGAAAGATTTTCATGTTAAAAGTGGTTCATTTGAACTTCGTCATGAGATTCAGTCTCTGTGAATTTTGAGTATAGTTTAAATACAGAATAATTAATACTTCTAACTTAGATTATTACAAACTGGTATATATCAAGAGGGAGAATTATTCACAAGAAAATTTAAACATGTTGCTGTTGATGACATGGCCAGCTTGAAGTTAATTGACAAATATAAACATGTTGCTGTTGATGACATGGCCAGCTTGAAGTTAATTGACAAATATAAACATGT